TGTTTTCTTTAAGTGCATCAACTTTTTAATTGTTTACCCTTTTTTTGGCTCATGCTTTAAATCTTGTAAAGTTGTAATTAATTACCAGTTGGGTATTTTGTTCTTAAAGTGTTGGTTGGGAAGTATATGAATACTGCAGGTGTACATTTTGGTTTTTGTGGTTTCAGGAATAGGTGGTAAGGCCATGCATCTCTTGCAGCAGAATGCTCAAGCTTTTAGTCAAATTACATTGAACCTCTCTGTATACAAGGTGGATGCACTTTCCTTGATTCTTTTTTTGACCTCAACTTTCCTTAATTGCAGTTCTTTTATTTAAATGTATTGAGGATTCTGTTGATATAATGAGTGTTAATTTTGTTATCTCATTTCATAGTTGTGTCTTCTTAATGGTTAAATCTGGAAAACACATGGGTCTGTCATAGATCTTAGAATTTAGATAATGTGATTGCTCCAAATAATGTTTGATGTAATTGCTTAAAATTTCTAAAGAATGTTTGGGTCATATGATAGCTCAAGATGCTTAAGAAAAAGAATGCAGATTCAGTCTTGCTGGGATGTAAACATTTTTTGCTAGTGAGGCCAAAAAGAGAAAAAAAGGGTGGTCCTGGTGACTAATTTTCCATTTTAACCTTGTCTTAGTTGATCACTGGGAAAGTGAACATTCTTACGAAGAGGACATACTAGTTTAAATTTCTGAACTGGCAATTGATGGCTGCAACCTAGTGAATCCTGATGGATCTCCTTTGTTATCTTTTATTATCTGCTTGTGTTTACTGTTAAAATCTTGATCACATTAAAGAATTTTAATTAAAAAAAGGTAATAAACCTTTCATTTTATTAACCATTGAGTGCTCTGTACTCCTATGCTGCTTAAAGTTTGCAATTTTAACGGTTCATAAGAGTCATTGTCTACACAGTGCCTGGGGATGGGCAGTTTGCAAGTACGCATGGGATTAGTTGGTCCAAAGGCCTGGATACCCATGTTATATAAATAATAGAGTCAGAATTTGACAAATAATAAATAGTGTGGATTGGAAAATTAAAAAGAATATGTTATTTGACATGACATTTCTAGATTTGATTTATCTATTGGAACAGGATAAATTATGAGATTTTTGGTCTGTTCTAACTTAGAGCTACCTTTTACTTCTAAAGAATTACAGGATGGGAGGTGATGTGTTTTTCTCTTTTTTATCCTTTCTTTTTTCTTTCTATTTTCGTTTTTCTTTTGGGGAAAGGGGGGGGGCACAACTCTCATCACTGTCTTTATGCGTCTCTTGACAGTAATCAAAGACAGGGAAGAAAAGGACAAAATGCTTGTGATCTTTCCATCATTAATTCTCTTTATTTGCATAAATGGCCCTTTCTGTATTCTCTTTTATGTGACAATAAAAATGTTAGATGGTATTATCTTATTGTTGATGATGCTTTTTCACTTGTATTTCCCCAAAAGCATTATTGGTTGTCTGAGGCTGGCTTAAACAATATCTTATGAACAGTTACAGGATAACATTAACCTCTTTTTTCGCACAAGGAACAATATTGCTGCCATCCTAAATGAGTACGTATATGTTATTATTATTTTTTTTTCTACTACTATTATTCTGTGGTTAATGTCCTTCAGTTACCAGTTTTTATTTTCTTTGCTCTTAGTGCTTAAGATAATTAGAAGCTACTTTTTACTTATTGGCAGTATGAGAGATACACCCGGCATAATGAGCCAGATGCCACCCTTACCTGTTTCTATTAATGAGGATCTTGCAAATAGTATAATGCCCAGCGCGCCTCAGGTGAGTCTCCATCTATGTTGATTCAATATGTATATTATGTGGGAGAGTGGAGTAAAAATTAAGTTTCACTAATAATGCTGGGTTCAGATCTTTCATTTGGGCTCATAAGAGTCTTAAGTCCTTTGTTCTGGATTGCCGGTCAATTGGGTTTGGCTCCTATCAAGTTTTGTTGCTTAGTTTTTGGGAGGAACCAGCTGTGAATTCAATTTGGGTTAAATTTTGGTTGTCTAATTGAACTTTTCTCTTCTAGTCTTTTAATTTCAATATAAATACACTTTGTTGTTTTTATTTTTTTTATTACTTGTTGTTGTTGTTGTTACCTCCTCCTTTGGTACTGTCACTTTTTTTTCCTTAAGTTTATTTTTGAACAAAATCAATGACCTTTTTGTTATTCATATCATATTGGAATAATATTAGCATTTAATCTTTACATCTTTACATCTTTACATAATTTGAAAATGAAGACCACCTAAATCCTTAAAATATAGCCAATTACAACACCCATTAAGGCTCAATCTTCCCTATTCCATTCCTGGCCCCTCAAACCTTAAAACCGAAATTTCAATAGATTTAGGCCCTGTGCCTTAATCCAATCCAAATTCTTAAATAATCAAAGGCTTCTAATAATTGCAAAAGTAATGAGTTAACTGTCCTATGCTGAAGAATAAAATGAACTTTTAGATTTGAACCAAAGTAATCATATCAAATAAATTATTTATTATGTATAAGATTGTTTGAACTATAAAACATTAGCCATTGTAATACTAAATCATGTAATAATTAAATTACCCATTATTATTACGATTCAATAAATGTATTGTGTAAATACAATATTAACTAATGTACTTTCAACTACATTGTGCGGCATTTGGACTTGTAATTAATAATAGGAAAAGGAGAATAAAGGTCATTAATAGAATACTGAATGGGGTACAAGGATATAGAACACCAACAAGAGGCAGATGCAGCCTTGAGGGAAGTAAGATACTTTTAGAGCACACGTTAAACATCTAATGCAGTAACACTATTTTCCAAGGAACAAAAGAAGTGCTGCAAGCAACTTGCCAGGAAAACCTGGTAGCATACCACAGCACTCACAATCCAACAGTGTTTTTTGGTAATTTGTAATTTAAGGGAAATTATATGTTTCTTAAGAACATTCTCTAGTAAGTAGTAGGGAAGTTAGATTCTGCTACTAGCCAAAGAGTAGTTTAGGCCTTTAGGGATATTTGCCTCTTTGACTTTCCCATCAACATGTAGCTCCTAGTTTGGGTATATTTATTTTGTAAAATAGCTTTCTTAAATTTTGGATTAAATCTTATTATTGGTTACACTGTCAGCCATTAGTTGTAAACTATTATCTCATGCTTGAGGTCATACAACCTTAACCCAATCTTAGATATATATATATATATATATATATTGATGTATAGGATGACAAGGTATGCATTAGTAAATAGCCTTCCTATTATCCCTCTAGCCCATCCCAAGGTTTGAACCTACAATTCCAACTTGTAAATATCTTGGCCTAATTTGGCATTTTCTACCATTTTTGCCCTCTATCACAATTCCCATTATTAATGTCAGTTGGGATTGTGAATTTTATATTCATGGCATGCCTTTTGTTTGAGTAGATTCTTTATAGAAGATTGTTCCCTACCTTGCTTATCTTAGGATTACCTGGTCATCAACTGCTATTGAAGGTCACACATGCATGTGTAGGCCATATTTCTTTCAAAGAATGGTGGTTAAATGGGAATGGAATAGATTTTGTATTGTTATTATGTGTTACTCGTTTTCTTAGTGAAAATGGTTGTAAGAGTTCTATTAACTTATTTCATCCACATGAAAGGGACAAGATAACGTGAGAACACATTAAAATGACCAGATTACGCCGCATGTTGATAAAACAAAATCCAATTTTATGAATTAGATTTGTTTATTTGCTATAAAATTTTATGTTGATTAGTGCCTTGAATTAAAGAAGAATTAAAGTCCAAGAGGAAGGTGTTGACACCGTCTGACACCCAAAATTTTGACTGTTGACACCTCAAGCCCAATTGGAAATTCCAACTTGCTTTAGGTGTCTGACAAGTCCAGCTAGTGTGTGGAGGCCTTGACTTGTAGCTACAATTTTGGGACTCCTTTCGCCGTGGAATTGAGACTTTTAACAACAAAACACCCCAACTTAGAACCAAATATAATGTATTATTAGCAACTCTAGAGCAGTGGTGTGGTGAAAATCCTAACCTCCACTAGGGTTAAGAGAGAGACATATAGAGGTCTGAGCAAAAAACTTTTAACTATATTTTTCAATTGGTTCTGATAGCTTCCTTTTATTTTGACTATACTTTTTGCGAGAGCAAAAAAAGTACATTTTGATTGCATTTACGTCACTACTGCAGTGTGAGCTCTTGCAGTTATTAGATAATCTAAAGCTAAGATGGCATGAATCATACATGAGTAGTCACAATAAGTTTTTAGAATAATCATTAGTCAAGGATCACTATAAATGCATCTGTTTAATACAGGTTCTTTCTTGCTTGTGTACAGTCAATGATGTTTGGCATGCCTGGAGGGATTCATCATTTGAAGCAGGAGCCAAGGTGCTGAAGGGGAATTAAGAAAGGATTTTCTATTGTAAATGCCCAAGAAAATGGTAGGATGATATTCATGCTCTGGTGGACACGTATTCATCACACGTGTGCCACATTGGAAATTTGTAGAGATCCCATTTTTGGAACCAATGTTTCCCTTGCCAGATACCAAGAAAGAGCAGCAGACTGTAAGAATGCAGGCTTCCACTCATATCCCTGCTCAAGACAGAAGATTCTTGACTAGATTTAGCTGAATTTAGTGCCGAAGCTTCTTGTGTATACTTAGGACAATACTAAAACTTGAATTGGATCGTTATTGGGTGTTTGATTTATGACTTGATTGTAATATACTGTAATGCTTGGAGTGGACGAGTACTAGACCAATTCAAATGATGTAACTACTAAACCTTAGTTCTCTCCATCCTTTACCTTGTTGTAGAGTGATGGTTGATGGCTCGGCTCCTTCCATGATATGTTGTCAATTTCTTTCTTTCTCGTTCTTTTATCCCTTCTTCCTCCACGAGTTATTGATATTTTTGTGTTTGCAAGTATTATTTAGACCACTATGATGCGTCTAGGTTAAACAAACATGATGCTATTGACTACCAAACTGCAAACAGAACATTGAAAGGGTTAAAGCCAAATGTAGACACCATCGGCAGGTGCCTTGCATTGAAGAATGCGGCTGTTCAAATCAAACCTTGTACAATTACAAAAAATTGTAACAACAATTATATGCTCAGATGTTCGTCTCTCGGCAAGCTCTGAACGGTGTCTGACCATCTTCCGGGCGAGTGATCGCTACTGTTCGAAGACACTTGTACCTCCGCCCTTGCATCTCTAATCATCTTCAGAATTTCCCTCATCACAGGGCGGTTCTCCGGTGTGGGAGATACGCAAGCCACTGCAGTGTTCAAGAGGGCTTGGAGTTTGTCCTCAGATGCTTCATTGCTAGAGTTAGGGTCATCCCCAGAATCGGTTTCTTGGTCACGAACGGATTTGACCCAGCGAGGAATGTCTGATCTGTGGTCACAAACAAGATCTTGGAACGGTGTTTTTCCTGTGAGGAGCTCAAGGAGAAGGACACCGAAGCTGTAGATATCAGCTTGTTGGGTTGGAACGTGACGATATTCTGGAGCCTTGTAGAAGAGAGTAGAAGAAGTGGATTCGTCAAGTGAGTCTGGATCACGAAATGAAGCGAGACCATAATCGGTGAGGCAGGACTCGAACTCGGGACCTAACAAGACGTTAGAGGATTTCAAGTTGCCATGGGTTAAGCCTGGGTTTTGGTGGATGTAAAGCAGTCCCGCTGCCAAGTCCTCAGCTATTTTTAGGCAAGATGTCCAATGTAGAGGCTTTCCACCGTCTGAACCTCTTGTTCCTGTAAGAAAACTGACCTTAATTTTTCTGTATATAAGTTGCTTAAATATTAAATTTTACAAATATTATGATCTAATGTTGTGGCAAGCTGACAAAAACAATACAACCAAAAATGATGAAAGATATTTTATGTTAAAAAAATTAGCAAGGATAAATAAAATATAGGGGGATTCACAAAAAAGTAAATATTTTGGCAACAGCACTAAGATGCTATGGTCAGATCTCGGAGTTAGACAAAAGCCTATTTTAGCATTGGGGTATGAGTAACCTGAAAAACGGATTGGGTTATGGTATAGGATACCAAGTCAGTGATATCTTAAATTAATAAAAGACTGACACTTTAGAGGCATCTGATTTCACCAAAAAGGAATCTCATGTCACTTAAACGAGTTTCCCATGACACGTTCCATGCCACGTTAGAGCTTCACCTAAACTGTGAAGAGGTCATTTTTATTAGATTTTTTTAAGATATATCCTTCGGACATGGTTAAGAGTATAACATATATGTATTTTTTTTATAAATTTATATTAAAAATAAAAATTAATATTTAATTTATTAATTATTTAATTAAATTTATTTACTTAATACAAATAGTAAAATTAATATCAACCTTTAAATTTTTCTATATTATTTATGATATAAAAAGCATCTTTAACATATATCTTAATTAGCACACATATTAGAAAAACTCATTTTTATTTTCAGATATATGTGGAGGCCAATAAAAAAAATTCAGAAATATGTTGGTCTCAATTTTTGCCAAACCACTTGGATGGCTCCTCATCTAAGAGTTGGTCTTGCTTCCCAATATAGTTTGGGCAAAAAAATTACTTATTTTTTTATTTGTTTTGAAATAAAAAAGTTAAAACTAAGACATTTTAATATTTAAAATATTAATACCACAAATCTTAACTATATAGTTAATGAGATTTAAATATAACCCACGTTTAATTTCACCCATCTTATCTCTATAATTAGACATTTTAATATTTTTATTTTCATGTCTAATATTTTTATTTTCATGACCTCCTAATTTTTCAAACCGTATTAAAAAAAATTTGTAAAAAATAGAGATGGAGAAATGAGTACCGTGAATGAGAGTGTACAGGCTGCCATTGGGGAAATAATCATATACAAGCAGGCGTTCTTCCTTAGCCTGGAAATAAGCTCGGAGCGGGACCAGGTTAGGGTGCCTCAACCTACCGAGCAAGTCCACGTGTCTTCTGAACTCCTCCGATCTAGGATATTTTGCATTCTTCAACCTTTTGACGGTCACGATGAATCCTGACTCCATCACCGCCTTGTAGGTGCTCCCCATCGTACCCCTCCCCAGCGTCTCCGCCGACGCCTTGAGCAGATCTTCAAGGCTGTAACTCATCCGCTCATCTCTTGATCCCAAGAACACCAGACTACCTAAGCCCTCACCCTCCCACGAAAACCCCCCTGGTTTTCCCATGTCACTGCCGCCTCCTTCCTCCGCACCGGCACCGGCACCGGCACCACCATTATGAATCCCTTGTCCTTTCCCCCTCACCTTTTCGTCATCATCGTCGTCATCGTTCTTTCTAGAGATTATATACAAACAGAGCAGACAGATCAGCAGCAGAAACAGAAACCCACCGACACTTCCTGCTATGATCTTGATCAATTTCTTACTTTTTGATGATGATTTTGAATTTGGAAGTATGGGATATGCAGGACTAATTGCTGGCCCTGACCCAGATGCACATGGGTTCTGAATTTCTTCCCCGCAGAGACCCACATTGCCAGAATACGAAGATATATTGAACCGAATCAAAGCAGGGGTAGCCGGGATCTCACCGGAGAGTTGGTTAACTGACACATTGAAGAATCTGAGACTTGTTTGGTTGAAAGGAGGGATTGTGCCGTTGAGTCTGTTGTCTTGCAAGTAAAGCATGTACAATCGCCGGAGATTGAGTAAGGAAGCAGGAATAGGACCTGAGATTTGATTTTCCGCCAAGACGATGACTTTCAAGCGATGCAAGCCGGAGACTGACTCCGGAAAAGCACCGGAAAAGTTATTGTTGTTGAGGTAAAGGGATTTGAGATTGACTAACCCAGAAAGACGAGGGATTTGCCCAGAAATGGAGTTCCCTTTGAAACTCAGAACCCGAAGTTGATCCAACTGATTCAAACTCTTCTCCTCCAGAGTGCCTGACAAATTGTAGTACTCTAACACAAGCTTTGTGATTCTTCCATTCATGCACTCCTTGATCCCTTTCCAAGTGCATACATCGCTGCTTCCTTGCCATGGCAGCGAGTTGAGCGGATCCACCCATAACTTGAGAGCTAAAAGCGCATCTGCATCGCCCGATCTAACTAAAGGGAAAACAGGAAGAAGAACGGAGCAGAAAATGAAGAAGAAAACAGAGTAGTTTTCCATCCTCAAATCAATAGGGATACACAGTACGGAGGGAATCCCCCTTTACCTCTTTCAAGTGCATTTACTGCAATTATTTTCCAAAACAGATCTGCCCATTTACTGTGAAAACCCTAGTAGAAGTTGCAGCAGAAAGCTCCATGGGCATTGTGGCACCCTCTCTCCAACTTCCTGCTGGAAAAATCCTTCAGGGACAGGCATCACGTGAAAACACCTCAGGAATTGCAGACAACATAAATAAACTTTATTTACTCATCTCAATGATTTCCATCTTACCCCATTCTTAAATCACAAGTAATTATTAAAAAATTAAGTAAAAATGACATGGGGGTGTTTTCTTTTCTTGTTAAAATTCTTGGGTTGCTCTAACAAACTGAAAATCTTCCATGGGGAAAACGAACCACCCATGCAAATGCAATATACCAGAAAGTGAAAATCCAAATTCAATGGCATAGATCTATCTACCTTTACTCCCCTTTGATTACTGCCAATAATAATAATAGAGAGAGAAAGAGACAGATAGTGGGTGAGCGCGTGAAAGTTAAAAGTTTCACGCCCTCTTTAACTCAAACACACTCAAGAAACAGGCGAGGGGAGTTAAAGCAATGGGAGAAATGAATGAAGTGGGTCACTATAGGAAAAACATTCTATTCACCCCTTCATTTTGGTCATATTTTAAAATTAAGCCCTTTAACTTGTAGTCCTTCTCATTTGGTAAAATTAGTTATTGAACTATATGTCACCAAAAAGTTGATATCACTCATTTATTACATATTATATTCATAATTAAGTGTTGTAAGCAGTAAATCAATGTTTTATTATCTTAGAAGCATCAAAATTATGTTTTTTATATTAAATAAATTTTTTAATACTATCACGTTATTAATATTTTTATTTTTTATAA